GTAGAGTTCCACACACTCCAGCCGGTCTCTGACATGGAGAGCAACCCCTCCTCCCTGTCTCCCCTGCCTGTCCTTCCTGAAGAGCCTCTACCCTTCCATTCTGACACTCCAGTCACAGGAGCGATCCCACCACGTCTCCGTGATGCCAATGAGGTCACAGCTCCTGAAGCCTGCGCATGCCTCCAGCTCCTTAAGTTTATTCGCCGTGCATTTGCCTAGAGGCATTTCAGATGGGCCCTTGATGAAGTTGCCTTGCTGACTGGAGCAGCTGGAATTCCCTTGTCTTGTTCACCAGGCACTCTCCTGGTGACTTGTGACTCTTCTCCCGGCTCTGGGCCTCTGTTGCCACTGGTGTTTTTGTCCCCTTCCCCCTTCAAACCTGGTTTAAAACCCCATCGATGAGCCCCGCCAATTCACGTGCAAGAAACCTTTTTCCCCTCTTGAGACAGCTGCACGCTGTCTGTTGCCACCCAGCCTGCTGCCACATAAACCTCCTCAAGGAACCTGAAGCTCCACCGTTCACACCAGCCTCTGAGCCATGTGTGATCAGGTGTGCTGTCCTGTTTCTCTCAGTGCCCTTCCCTGCTACTAACGGAATGGAGGAAAACACTACCTGTGCTCCTGATCCTAGCACGATATTTTAGGGAGTGAAATACCCCTTGGTCATGTTGGGTTAGCTGCCTTGCCTGTGTCCCCTCCCAGCTTCTTGTAGCATAGAAGTTGGGAACACAGGCACAGCACCAGAAACTTGACTTGGTGCAAGCACTGCTCAGCAACACCTAAAACCACCAGCGTTATCAGTGCTCTTCTCAGGGCAAATCCAAACTGCAGCCTCGTACCATCTACTGTTACGAAAATTAACTCCGTCCTGGCTAAAACCAGCACACAGAGACCGACTGTGCCTGTATGAGGGTCAGTATGTTTTCCACTGTTTCTTCTTGCCCAAGCTACCGCAGAGAGAAATGACACAGCCAACTGCACTTAATCCAGAAAAGTGAAATCGTCTTCACCTTGAACAAACACAGTAGTTTGCTGTCCTTGTGATGTCAGTGCTGGGAAGAGCACTTACAGTTAAAACTCGTTACTGGCTTGAATTCAGTGCTTACTTCAGTATCAAAAAGGAGTAGAGTGGTAGAGTGTGTGGTGTTTTAAATTGTATGAATGTTCTGAACTATTTTCAGGACTTCAACTATTTTAGGCCAAAATAGCATGGATGGATGAAGAAAGAATTTGTGTTAGTGCATTTTTTCGTATGGTGCTTACAGAAATGTTTTGGTACGCTTTTTTCTAGCTTCTTTTTAACTAATTGTCTGCTATGTACGCATTCACTGTGGATGATAGTTTGGGCTGTCTTGTTAAGCTTGAAGATGCCCTTCAGAATATTCAACTTCACAGGCAAATTGCTAATAAGAGACAACCCTTGGAGTTAAGTGTTTTAAGAAGCTCTTTAACACCTCTGATGGCACCTATTAGGATGTTATTTTCTTTTACAGAGAAATTTCCAACCTATGTCTAACAAAAAAGATGGTATTGAACTGCTGCTTCTTCTGATTAAGTCACAATGCAGAAAGCTTCTGTTGACAGAAAACTGACGTTTGGATACTGTCCTTGATCTTTTTTTGTATGTTGCTAATGCTTTGGTATAGGTGCCTCCTTTAACAGAGAATAGCCAAATTCTTAACTTTGCAGGCTTCTAGATGGTTGTCCTAGCAGTGGAGTAATGACCTAATAATCCTCTTGAAAATTTCCATAGCTAATTAACTCCAGAATTACTTCTTAAGTTGCAGATTTGCTTTGTTCAGAACTTGCCTTTTTTTTTTTTTTCATTCTGTGTGGTAGGAAGCAATTATTTCAGGTGAAATTGAATTTGATAGTCTAATTACTGAGTGGTGAAATGGTCAGACAAAGTAAACTCAGATACAGACAATTCTTATTAATTCCAATCTTAATGACATAGGCTGTGAAGTTACCCTGGGATTCTTTTGTTTTAAAAATAAAGTTATAGGAATTACCATACTTTTTACATACAGATGTTCTAAAGACATCTCTGTCCCCTTTTTATGAGAAAAGGTAGTAGCCAAATGCTATCACAGTTCTTGAGGCTGAAGAAGTGTTTTTGTAGCACAGCTACATTTTTGAGCAGCCTTATGTTGTCACAGTGGATTGAGCGTAAAAAATGGAGGCAGAGTGTGAACTGCAAAGATTATTCCAACACATCCTGTGTTAACTTTCTTTAGCTACAAGGAACACTTAGGGAAGTGGTAGACACTGTTGGATGGCAGTTTTCACATTTTGTAAACATGATATGATTAAACTTGAAACAAAGTTACTGATATGACTGTGACTTGAAGTTTTGAGTCAACCACAGAGGTTACAATGAAGTTTTTTGGTTCATGAATGGTTTAAAGCATTGGGTTTTAGATCTCAGTGTACCAAAAAGTTGCTACTTAAAGCTGATCTGCTTTAAGCTTAATTTTAGCTTTACCCAGAAACTTAAAAATGTGAATGTTGGCATCTGATGGATGGAAAAAGGAAATGCGGCTTGTGATTCTTGTCTTAAAACAACAATCAGTGTTTGCTGCAGCTCAAAGTATGTCACCTGGAGTGCATGCCTCATTGGGATATTCTCAATAAAACATGCATAACCAATATGATTCCTTTTTAAAATGTTATTTCAGTGTTTGTAGATGCCACCCGTGCATTACAGCACTGGCAGGCATTGAATTAGCTTGTTTTTTCTTATATGAGGTGTTGTGGGTTTAGCCTTATCTGGCAATTAAGTACCATGCAGCTGCTCACTCACCTCCTCCCCCCTCCCCCAGCGAAGCAGGAGAGTTGGAGGAAAGCGCAGAAAGTTGAGAAGAACTATTTACAAATATTAACGAAAATTACAGTGATACGAACAATACTACTACTAAGTAATTAATTAAAACAATAGAAAACGGAACATATTATACAGCAGCTGACCACACACTGACCAACACATAGCCAGGTCCCAAAGTGGGGAGCAGTCCCAGCCAGAGAACCCCAGAAACAAGCTGATTTTCAGACTCTTAAGGAGAATTAGTAAAGGGCTGTAAGTCCTCACTGATTTCTGCAGCAGCCTGCCAACAAGGCAGTAAAGCAATTGTGACCCTCAAATAAAATTTATGAAGTAAAGGCCAGTATCACATAACGAACTGAGTCTTCAATATCTACATCTACACGTACTTTCCAGAGTTTATCTATTGGATGTGCGCTCCCTGTATGTCAGCAAAGGAACCCATGGTTTCTAGATTTTTGGATAGGTTTGGGTGGTAGTGAGACTATAGCCACCTGTTCTGAGACAGTCAGGCTGTGTGCATAGCAGCAGGACCAAAGGTGCTTGGGAAATGTGGGGGAGATACTGGCTTTGAGGACACTCAGGTCTAAAGCTCTCCACTCAGCTGTCCCTTGGAAGCAGTGACCTTTGTATAGCATCTTCAAACACTTAGTCTTGCCCTGAACTGCATGACTGATGCCACGACAGGGCCTTGGCTGTTCCCCGCTTCCCCTGCTATGGCAACCTGGCCAGCGAGGCCCTGTGCAATCCGTTGGTGTAACACTTGAACTGCACGCCAAACGCAGAGCTAGGAATGACGGCGCCCTGAACTGTGCGTGAAATCTTGTAGCCATTTATGCTGGGGGCGTTAGTCTGCCGTGCAGCGACTCGGAAAGGGCTGGCTTACCGTGGTCAGAACTGGAAGCCACTCTTGGGTTTTCCCTTAAGCGAGACGGATCACACGAATTGTGGAACAAACAATTAGGAAGAACGTTGTGCTTTTATACCATATACTACATTGCTTTTAGGCACATGTGAAGCGTATGCGAATTTGCACAGTGTTTTTCAGAACATGGTTCCTATAGACAAAAATTGAGTGTGTGTCACCCAGCACAGACCGCTTCAGTCATCTCTTTGCCTTAACAGGCATTGTAGTTCATTCCAGAATGAATGTAAAGGACCTCAGTTTGAAATTCGAAGAACAAGAAAATGATGGTTGAAGTAATTATTTTTACTCATTAATACTTCAGTTAAGGGCGTGGAAAGGAGGGAGCTATGATGAAGAGTAAGGCTTTCATTTGGCAGCACATCACACAGGATTGCAGTGATTCCTTAAGACAGTAAGCCTCCAAGGAACAGAGTTTTGCACACAGAGCATGTTAGTCTTGGTTAACTTTGCTGGGAGTGGTAATATAGGTCATTAGTTGTTTACACATTTAGATTGTCCACTCTCTACCTTGACTGTAGCATCTATGGCCTCTAGTTAAATCTCTTATTATGGCTCCACTGAACTTTTGCTGGTACCGGTCTTCTCAATTCAATCCTTCTACCCTTGCTGCAGCAGGAGCTGGGCTTTCCTGCGCTTTCCAATTTTCTTATAACGCAAGAAAAAAGAGCCATCCTTCATTCCTGTTGTGTTGTTCCCAGTTCTTAATAGCTCACAGCTAGAAAGCTTCAATTTTTCTTTCAGTCTCCCAAGAAGACTTACATACTTTTCTCAGAAATGAAAGAGAAAACATCTTGAATTAACCCAGGTTTTCTTAGTTCTGCTCTACTTTTAAAAAGTGTATGAAGTGCACTTAACCTTGTCTATGGATGAGCTCTTAGACTTCTGGTGGTTTACAATGACCATTTTTGTCCTTTAACATCCTCTGTTATTTATGTTCCAGACCAAAAATAATTTTTATTTTAAAGAAATCTTGTGCAAACGAACCAAGATGGTAACTGTATTACATAAAGTGTGCACAACCAACTGTATGCTTAACAGCCATCACGAAGTTTCCTGAAGCAAGTTATTTTATTAGTTATGGTACAAAATGGTGTATTTGCTGTTGATAATGCCAGGTGTCACATCAGGGAAACTTAGCCCTTTGGCACCTGTGTATTGAAACTGAAATTTTAGCATATTCTTGGTGGATTTGTGTGCTTGGTTTTTTTTAACAACCTAGTGATGTGAAATACTTCAATTTTGTTTGTTCAGCTGCCATCTGAGATGTTTGAAGCTGAAGAAGCAGTGCTGCTAAGCAAATTGGAATACGAAGAGCACAAAAAGGTATTTGCAGGATTCATTCTAATGTAAAAGCTGTACAAGCATGAGGCTTGAATTTTAAAAGCAAAAAACCTCCAAAAAGTACCACTTTTTTCCTTTAAATTGTTTGCTTACACTGTTCAGAGAAGTACTAGATTTGAAAGAAACCGTACATAATAGTGTTGGGTGGTTTGGGTTTTTTCTTTTTTAATTGGCTTGTAAAGTTGGAAAATCAGTTTCAGATTTTCAATTTTCTGGCATATAAATGTGCTAAAATTTTTGAAGAGTAGAATCCTGAGCTGCTTCAGAAAAAATCCAGCACACCTGAAGAATAAGAGAATCAAAGCACTTGTTTCTCCTTAGGATTAAAGTGTTAGTTATGTTTCTAACATGAATTGGCTTCTTATTTGTAACGAAACGAAGTCAATTAAATGTTATGAAAAATATGTATACTTTAATAAAATTATGCATCATAAAGAAATACAAATTGTACCCTTTGGTGCAAATATCTGTGTAGAATACTACTTTTTTCTTGGTGAGAGTCTCACAGTTATAGAAAACCAAGGATAATTTTTTAACTTGCACAGTACTAAAAGATCTCTTTTTAAAGTGAAGACAATCTTCAGGCATAGTAGCATAGCATCACTTGTAGACTTTCTGAGGATTACCTCTGAATAATTTAAACAATATACCATATATTGAAAATGTTGTACAGTGTGTGAGTACACCGAACAAATCTTGTTTCTGCGAAAAGAAATGCACTCTCTTTTCATCTTTGCTTTCTATCTAACAATTTATTCTTAAGATTACATCTAAGGTACTTTTTAATCTTAATTAAAATATTTAATGAATTAGTATTTAAGATGATTTTTAACATCTGGGACATTGATAATTTGCTGAGGAGGTTAAGGTACGCATGTTGGGAGGTGTGACTCGGGTTCAAACAGCTATTGTGTACCCGTCTGTCTGATTTCAAAAGGGGTGAGATCAGTTAGTAGAGCATTGCTGCACACTGACAGCTCTCTGACTTTTGCTGAATGAATAAGCATATTTTGAGAATAAAAGAAGGTACAGTAGGCTTCTTTTTAAAGAAAGTACTAACCTGCATTGTGTAGCCCTCTGCCTTCCTGCATTTGACTACTGTATACTCTCAGTTAATGAGTTTCTGGATAAAATTTGCTGTAGGTGATTGCGGAAGCGTTGGGCTGATAGCTCATTTGCTGTTTAGTGAAGAGCAATGCTCTACTTCAGAGAACATACCCAATGCTTAATTGCTCATGTCTCTCATGCTGTAAACCAATCCGAAGCCTGCAAATTACTGTTCAGGCGAAAATCTCCTGTAGTGTATTATCACTATTTTTTCCTTTATAAAGCTTCAGGAAAAAATATTTGGGTATTGAAGAAAATTATACCAGTGGGACTTTATTCTTCTAGGAATATGAAAACGTTGAAAGTACTTCACCTCAGTCAGAGTCTGTGAATATGAAAAAGAACCAGCAAGAAAAAGACAAACCTCTCACTGTGTCTCTGAAAGACTTTCAGTCAGACAGTAATATAGGTATGCTTTATCATACCGTATGAGCTGCTCTGCTTGGAATTTTCATAGTGTGTGTGCTAACAGCAAAATGCCCTTCTGTCTCTCTTCTTTCCCCGTGTGTTTAAACAAACACTAAATGATTTGCAGTTAGTGTGTTCTACAGAGTCTGAAAGCTAAGTGTTCACCATATAATTATGGGCTGGTTAGATCAGCAGGGGAAAAAAAGGACAGGTTAAGGAAAACATAGTTCATGTAGTATCCCTGGGGTGGGTGGGGGATTCAAACGCTCCTAATGTGACTCCTTTTTTTGGAAAAAAAAAAAAAAAAAAAATCTAAGTGGGTTTTTCTGTTTTACTGAGTTTGCACTCCTCAGGCAACAGAGTTTCTCTTCCCTGGGTAAGAACAAGTAATTGTTTTCCTTTATCAATGATACTGCCTTTTATTAAGATGGTAAATATTGAAATGACTTATATATACCGATTATATGCATTATTTATATGTTAAAAATTTCTTCATCTATGTCTACAGAGCAGAGATTCTGAATTCTAGTGAAGAAATCAAGGTAGATGCTAGAAAAGGAAGAAAGTTATTTTTTTTCTAAGTTTTTTTCCTTCGAGGATGACGTTATCTAAACCTGCAATATTTATTAAACGCATAATTTCCAAATAATCTGAATAGAGAAAAAAGTTTGAAAAGACAGCAGTCTGGAAGGCATGGAAGGCATTCAGGTATACAGTGAGATATGTGCTATAAAAGCCTAAATAGATTTAAAAAGAAACAAACCAACAAATTCCTGAAGCGTCTATACCACAGACATTGCCTTCCGCTTTAACTGAAGCAGATGAATACGGGATGCTGCTTTTGATTAAACAGTCTGCAAGATCTGCGAAAAGATGCAAATGTAGGGATTGATGTAAACTACAGTTTATAATCTTGGTTTCTAATGCGTTAGTGATGACTCTTTTTTTGTATTGTGACTGTAAGAGGAGAGTTCATGTGGAACTCCCACAGGTGGTCTTTTTCCCCGCACTCTTCAAAATGTCGTTTCAATATCCAGTTTTACAAGATTTGAGTAATGTACTGATGATTTTTTTTTTTCTGTTCTTTTCAGATAACCTTGCTAAAAAACATGAGGTATGTCTTATTCAAACTAGTTTCATAAAAACCCCAAATTCTTAGGTTTAGAAGGAAATTATTTTGGCTCTTCTGGTGGCAATCCATTACACATTCTGAAACCGATTTCCGGTTTTTACAGACGCAGATTTAAGAGATGTATGTCTGCAGCTCTTGTATCTTGAGCACTTAGCACTGGCTTTCTTAGAGCTACTTCTTGCTTCTTTTGCTTTCAGATAGTCTTTGCAACTTGCAGACTTAAAAACATATTAAAATCACAAATTGTAGTACAAAAGAGAGAAGGAAATCAGATAAAGCACGGTGATGCTACTATGTCATGGTGCAGTCCGCGAATACTAAAACTCTTAGACAAAAGAAGGTTCCAGTGAAATAAAATATAAAGTAGTGTAGGCATAGTGCAGAATTACTCAATTCCAGGTTAATGCTTTTGTGTAATCTCATCGTCAGCTAAATGTTTCTAGGCTTTTCAATTGGTGTCGTACCCTCCAGGTGGAAGTCACGCTATTGCCAGGATGTACAACATAAAACAGTACCTAGACCTAATGCTTTTCCATGACTTAAGCTATTTTTAATATATTAATTTCTGGCTCACTATTAACTTATATGTAAAGGAAGATATGTTACAGTGTTTACTTTTGACAGGAACTGAACTCTTCCCAGTCTTCGTTGCATGATGGAGGATTTTTCAGCAGGCTGGAAGATGATGTTCACAGAATACTTGAAAGGGAGAAAAGGAATGTCCAGTGCACTGATTACAGTGAAAGAGATAACTGCACAGCTCATGAACGCAACCAGGCATGTAAACCAGCAGTCAGTCTGAAGTGAAGAAGTTCACCTAATGAAGCTTATTCAGTGATCAGAAGGGAGTGCCTGAGTAGAAGAAAGCACAAATCAAAAGCGTGATAATCTTAAAAGAATTAAAAAAACCCACAATACTGTAATATTTTTACCTATCTGAAGAGGTATTCAAATGAATTGGTTTTTTTTTAACGTGAACACTTGAGATTGAATTCATTTTTGCTCCACAAAAAATGCCAATATTTATTACTGCTCTTCTTATCCTTGTGGTATCTATGCACATACACCTCTTCCGTTTTGATGAAAAATTCTCTTCTATGACAAACAAGTTGCCTTTCCCAGGAATCAAATCCACATGACTAAATTATTAAGAAGTGTCTTTTTCTTGCTTCTAGGGGAGTGTTTTGAAAGATGGGCATACAGAACAACTGAAGCTTGAGCTTGAAAAGAAAGATGCAGAAATTAAGCAACTGAAAAATACAATAACTCAGTGGAAGGTATGTAACCAGTAACACCTTCACACAGTAGACAAAATTTAACATTTGAAAGCAAGCACTTCTTAAAATGTGATCATTCTATAGAGATGGTTTAGACTGGCCACAGATTACATATTGACAGAGCAAATTATTCCTTCAGTACCACGCGAAGCGCTCTTTCTCGGTAAGTTAAGCATCCAAAAATAATGAAGAGTCCAGATAAAGCATCCAGAAATAAACTTCCTACCTGGCATATCAGTCACTACTTGTTTTCTAGTAGTGCTGTTTTCTTGGTCAAAAAAATAAAGATGCAGTCTAAGACGAGGCAAGATCTTGAGCTATCTCAGCTGCCTTGGAAGGTAGCTCTATTTGAGCAGGAAGTTGGACTTTCTTGAGTGTTTTCCAACCTACTTATATTTTAAATTCTACTCAGCTTTTCTTGCATTTAAGAACTACATATTGTTGGGATTTTCTGTACATTCATTTCAATATTTGAAGTGGTTAAAGAAATCAGTATTTTTTCAGGTTTAAGACAAGTTCCTTTTAAAGCTGCAGTGTGATGAGAATGGAGTCCTGTATTTTGGTGTATCTTCTTCTGTTACGGACAAGTGAAATTGAAGTCATATTCACCATAAGCTCAAACACACCAGGAAAAAATTGCCTGTTAACATTTACATTGTATTGCTGTATACCGGAGTACCTAGGGAAAATATCTTTCTCCCTGTTTCCAGTCTGTGTTAGCATTGTCTGGGTAGTATCTAGAGCAAAAAGGTCAAAATTTCCATGAGAAACTGACATGGTAACAAAATACAGTACAGCAGCATAGAATTATTTTAAATTATTTTATTACTGTTTTTATTCATTGCTTAAGGCAGACTGAGCAGGTTGACAGATTGGGAGCTTTCTGATGCTTCAGAGAAGTACGTGTAGTAATAAAGACATAACCTTTGCTAACAGCTGCTTTCAATGTGTACAAAAGTTGGCATTCCCACGTGAAATTTTAAAGTGTGAAACCGTTCATATTTACCACTATCAGCCCATGACCCCATCAGACAGTATGAACACGATGCGAAAGGGTACTGGTGAGATGACAGACAGTGGTAAAAATGTTTCTTTTTATTAACTTGTCCAGAGACCTAAATGTAGTTTTAGGTGGCCGTGAAATGTCTGGCCTATATGTAAGGTTATTATTTTCAGGGACTGGTGTGATAGTAGCTTCTTTATTACAAAAAATGTATGGCTGGAATCTTCAAGAGCCTACAAGAGCAAACTGTGTGGAGAGACTTGTGACAGCAAAAATAAGTTTACAGCTAAAATACATGGCTAGAACTGACATTGGTGGACAATTAAGGTGAAGACTGACTTACGAAGAAAGTGTGGGGATACCAGATAGGTGGGAAAACCCAGCAAAAATAGGTTCTTGAGTAGTAGAGTTGAAAAAACGGTAACGTAATCACTGCTCAGTAAAACAATCAGTAGGGCAGTGTGGCCTTGTCCTACTTGCCAAGTAATATGGGCAACTGTTTATATTATCTCAGTATTCAGAAAGTGCATGGTAATTGTAATTTTTCAGAGGACAAACCACAAAGCTCTGGATGGAACAGGCCTATAGGCACCAGGCAGACCTGAGTGGTGGTTCCTGCACTATCGATGCACTGACATAACTTCCTTATTTTAACTTGCTCTAAGCCTTATGTTTGCCTTTCCCCCCTCCACCCCCCTCAACTCTTAATTATTAATCCATTTTTCCTGTCATGTATTCCTCTGTTTGGCTGTGGTTTAAGACATAAATGATACTGAAGGTCTCATACAATGTAAATGATTCAGTGATTCTAGGATTAGATTCTGTACAAAAGTCATCATTTTAAACTCTAACTCTTAGTCATGCTTGTTTTAAAGAATACCTTTTCTTTTTTTAGTGTGGTATACATGTAATAATTCAATGTCTTTAATACAGGAAGAGAATAAAGAAGTAAAAACAAGAAATACACAGCTTCTGAGGATGATGCAAGAAGGTGAAAGTAAGGAGGCTTTATCAAGAAACTAAAATGTTCTTGTTTTAAAACATGGAAGGAACTTTTAAAGCAGCTTTTAAAAAAATAATGATTCGGTTACAGCTATACAGAACTAAGCAGCTTTTAATTTGATTTTAGCTTTATTATTATTAGTTTTCACTCCAGCGAGCTGCAGAATTTGGTCAGTCACACCGTACTGCATTTCTGTTTTTGAAATACTGTCAATGTCATTTCATATTGTCAGTGAAATAATCAGTTGCATGTTGAGATCATTCTTTGAAAGACAAACATTTGAGGTACAGTGATTCTCTGGTTTAGACTTTCTTCTGCTACTGACAGCTACCTGTTCTGGACTGACCTTATCATAATACTTAAGACACACTCGAGGAAACTGTTCAGTTCTTGTATCTTTGCAAGCCGTGCTGTGAACGGTTGGAAGCCTCACTCGACACCTAAGCAAGCCTCACCACACCGTGAATAGGGATAGCTAGACCACAGGATTGGATATACAACTGTGTGATAACTTTCTTCTGTTATAAGACTACCTAGAATTCAATGATTTCAGGGTTTGTTGTCAAAGTTTGGGGAAAAAAATCGTATGTACGTACCCTGATATGTACGCAAATACACTAGAATCTTTACACTTGTTAAGCATAGTTATCCTTTAATATTCCTAATCTTGCTTGATGAAGTTGTTTGATTCTGTGATGCCAGCCACGCTAACTTTGTTACAAAATTGCCTTTGCTTTGCAAATTCTTAATTTAGCTCTTGAATGTAGTTTCTTTCCTGGGCTAAATTTTCAGCTAAAAAAGAGCTCAACTTTTTTTCTTTGACGTATGTTTACAAAAAACCGTGTCTAAGCTAGTTCAGATGTTCGTAATGTGATTGAGCATTGAGCACAGCATTGCAGATTTTAACTTGGAACTTTATTACTTCGGGTCGTTGTCTGAGCCAAGATGAAATATTTTCATCTTGAGCAGAAAGAGGTGAAATTCTGAAGGTTGTGGGGTTTTTTGGTTTCTTTGGGTGGTTGTTGTTGTGGGTTTTTTGTGTGTGTGGAATAGTAACCTACTACAGAATGAGAGATTCTTTGTTTTTCTATAGACTGAGTATTCTGTATTTTGGGGAGAAAAATGTTTATGGCAGAATTGAGCCTTGAAAAAAATTTCAGTTCTTCATATTAGGAGTTTTAAGTTATCCACAGACATTTCACAGGCACTAGCTAAATAGTTTAAACATCCTGGTATTCCAGTAAGTAGAACATTCCAGTAAATAGAACATTCTATGACTAGGACATTTGTGAAACTTATGATCCCAACATCTTGATCTAATATTAATGTTCAGTTTTATGATGGACTTTGTTAATCTCTCAAATCCACACCCCTCACAGGGTTAAGCGTGAGGTAAGTGGTGTAAGGGTGGAGTTTAATCTCCAGAACTCTTCAAGCGGCTACTAAATGGCACTGTTAGCCAGTGGTTGGTTTTGATTTCACCTACTGTTCTTTTAGTGAAGATGGCATTATTTAGAGGTAGTAAGAGGTAATAAAATAGTGGAAATAAAGATGAAGACCTGTAAATCTAGAAAGATCCTCACACTGTATCTTTCTGTCTCTGTAGTGAAAGACAAAGCAGAAATACTCCTAGAGATCGATGAATATCGAATTATCAAAAATGAATTGACTGGGCAGGTAAGCGAGGATTTCATGGGTATTGGAAAGATGCTATTCATTTAAGGCATTGATAGAGGCAGGGGAGGGAAGAAGCTGAAACAAAAACTTGTTTGAAGCAAAAAGCTTTACATTTCATCCTTAGCCCTGCACTATGTATTATAGATAATATTTACATAATATAATATATATATTATAT